GTTTCTTATGAATGGCCATATAGCCAGTCCATCCTCCACCTTTCAAATTTCCTAGTTTGTGGGATGGTTTATTAAGAAGATTGAAAGGTTGGAGAGGGCCAGTGATCCTAAGGCCAATCAGCATGAAGATGTCAGCTAATGTAATTGTCATTGGGCCTTGACCAAAGACGAAAGCATTAAAAGCATTGGACCAAAAATAAGATACTGCTTTCAGTAGTGGTTTGTTTCTCTTCATGGGAGATAATGACAAGGTAATACATTGATCCAAATCATAAAGAACCTAGTTGGCTCATTCTGCATCTACTATCCTGCGGTACCAATCTCTCCATCCTTTAAGGGGAAGCGGCCAGGCTCTAAAAGTATAATCCTAGGCTGAAGAATTCATGACCAATTTTTGAATGGGAGCCTATTGGTTTCTAGATTGATTATTTCAGTTGGGTCAGGGTTACCTATCGGTCCAAGGTAATAGGTATGGAGAACATCAGCTGATGGGATTAAAATTTCGTTCCTAAGCTCCTAAGAACATATCGAAAAGTACAATCGGAATCAAGAGGCAGTTGAAAGTCATGGAAAATTGGAAATTATTAATCCATAACTCTGGAACGCTGTTGACGGTTGCCGCTTCCTTAAACAAGTCGCCACTTTTCGAGAATATGCAAAGAACAGTGGAGCGCTTCAATGATGAAGTTCTGATTTGCTAGGGTTTAAGGCTCAAAGAGACTGCGGCGGCTAGCAAGCGAAATAAGGAGGAATAGAAGCAGAATGGCCGAATAAAGGAGACGAGGGCAATTTGGAAATTTATGACAAGTTTCAGCCTAAATGGAGAAATCAGAATGAACGGTTGGAAGTGCGGCGTGTGCAACGATCATAAGAGATAATTATGGAATAAAATCATTTTATTCTAAAATTGGGGGGCATGTGTTGACACCAAAATCATTGAGAGAAGCCGAGACATTCACAAAATTGGCTAAGCAAAAGTTACCATCAGGATCGACCGAGTGGCATAAAGTCATCATTTCAAGAATGGGCCTTATCGATGGAAGATGGCGGTAACCCGAAGCAAGAAGACACGTCGGACTTCATAGAAGGAAAAGATTGGAGTCCAAGTTATCTTAATTTAGAATGTTTGTTTTTTTCTGATTTTGTAACCGGTCTTGTTCAACTAGGACTCGTAGTCAAGTCTCGGTATAAATATTGAACCCTGGCTAATGTAATAGACATCTCTACGATCAATCACAAACTCGTACCTTTCCTTTTCGGCTTATGCCAACCCTAGGAGTAGGAGTAGTGTAGATCTCGGCGAGTTCTTCGGGCAAGCAGGGCTGCATTAGTTCGGTCGACCTCCGGTTTGTTTGTGAGTACTGTCACGATTTATACTTTTGTTTATAAGGCTGCATCGGTCTAGGCGACCTCTTGTAAGCTTTGGTATAAGTTAGTTATCAACTTTTATCATTAATTGTAAGGCTATATCGGTCCGGCCGACCTCTTGCGACTCCTGGTACAAGTTACTTATCGATTCTTATCAATATTTGTATGGCTGTATCGGTCCGGCCAACCTCTTACAAATCTTGATATGAATTAGTTATCGAGGTTGAAATGGATCGGCTTTATATCTTATCAAACTACCGTCTCGTCGCTTTATCTCGTTTAGATCTCACTTTGATGATGGTTTTAGCTAAATTAGTCGTTTTATTCCAATCTTGATCGAAGGTAGCATGTGGCCAGGGCATGTTTGATCTTAAGTAAGCTTGCTAGTTGATAAAATCTAGTCTAGAACTGCTATTATGGCTGCCATCGATCCGGTCGACCCCCACTGTTAGCACTATAGATCAAAAATTATCAATCAACAAGTTCGCTTATGGTCAAACATAGCCTCTGACTGCATGCTATGTTTGCATCGGCTATTTAGCCGATCGCCCGTGCCTTCACGTGTATAACGCGCTTTCATGGTCCCATTAAATATGAGTAGATCTATCAATTGCTAGTCTCTGATCTAGGGTCCTACCGTCAATGCTGCATCAGCTGATTCGATTTGTTGGCGGTACAATAGATTGGGTTTAGTTAGTTTGTAGATTTATTTATATCCAATGGATGAATGTTTGCACGTCGTACAACATAAACCACTGGAATCTGCTATTTAGCCGATAGCCTGCTCATTGAGGAAACATTGGCTATTTTAATGCTTGTATTTGTTTTTATCCTAATTAAAAGCTAGCATGATCCTCAATTAATGTTAAATGCTTTCACACCTATCTTTTATACTTTTGCATGTTTTCATGATCATCGGCTGTTAGGATCTACACAATTAATACCTGATAATTGTTGATAATGCTCATTTTATTTGCATTACATCATGAACTTGCTAGATATCGACTCTTTAGTCCATAGCCTCACCTCGCTGGCTACTCAGCCGCATATTTGGAACTATCTAGAATAAACACCGGCATGTTCCACCTTAAATTACTAATCAATCTTTCCTCCTTGTCAATTGCAGGGTCAAATTGACTGGCACGCCTCAGGTCATGACCATCCGATCCTGTGTTCCCCAAGCCCTAGGAGATCTCAGGATCTGATGCGTGCGGCTTCTTCCGGCTTGCTGCATGTGCGACGGCGAGGTGACTGTTTTTGCCGTCAACACAAGGTAACAATGTAAATGCGGAAGCTTAACTAAGGTAGAGATGCAAACTCCCGTTGGTGACTATGGTATTTTTATCGAGGTATCAAGAAGAGTGCAAGCTTCCCCCTAGTCCTCGTTGGAGCCCCTCGCAAGGATGCCCTCGCAAGGGTCAAGCTTCTGGTCGAGTAACTCCATGGATAGCCTGAAGCCTTCCCCATGCGCAAGTGGGTCTCCGATGTGCCTTCCGGCAAGACTCTCACGGATGTTCCCCGCCGTCTCCACCATCAAGCTTTCGACCAAAATATCGTGGGCCTTGTTCCATCTGGTATACGGTGGCAGACACACCACAAATGTGGTTGGTGTGGTCTCACAAGACTACAAGCCCCACCAAGTAGAAACACGGTACGCAAAAGCACCTTCTTCTTCCGAGGTATGCAAACCTGACTAACTACTAAGCCTAAGCCTAGGCAAGTGCATAAGCATAGTCTAACTAGCCTAAGCACTTTGCAAAGCACCTCTGCTAATCACCAAGTCATTCCTTAAGCACTTATGTGGGAAAGAGCACTAGAATGGAGTAGCACCTCCCTTGGTATGATTCTTAGTTCCTACACACTTCATTTGTCCTATTTGAGCACATATTTATAGCCCCAAGCAATGAGCTAGCTAGCTTGGAATACTCCACTACGCACCATCAGACCAGACCAGAACAAACCATCGAACCAATGCCTGTTAGTGTCCGACGCTTTCTGCAGGTGACCGTTGAAGCTAGCCGTTGCTGCTCCTGAGCTGATCGTTGCCGTCTCGGTCTCACTGACGGCTGGGCCCTTATCCTTGGACGGTCCGACACCTTCCTCTGGACTCGGTCTGATGCCCAACCCCTCTTGAGAGCTCTCTGGAACCCGTCGGATTGTGCACCCTGTTGGTTCGACACTGGCACTGTTGCCAGGGTCCGAAGCCTCTATTTCCTTTCTACCCTGTGAATAGTGGGACCATTTGGTCTGACGCCCTGTCCACCTTGGGTCTGATGCTTCTGTCGATGCTAGATCTAGGATTTGGTGACCTGTTGAACTCTGCCTCTGATGGTCCGACGACCATAGGGTCCGACGCTCACATAACCCTTTTTTCACTTGTTTCTTCACGATTCTTGTGTCCGGCTTAGTTTCATTCTCGTGCCTTGGACTTTGCTTGATCTTTTAGGTCTTTGACAAGTCTTCTAATGTTTTGCTTGAGGTATTGATCATCCGGATCATCAGTTTGCCTATGTCCAAGCCACTTTTACACCCTTCGAACTATAACTAAAAACACTAGTAAATGATATTAGTCCAATGATTATGGTAATCATCAAACACCAAAATCTAAACTAAATGGGCGAATGGTTCATTTTTCTTACAAGAGCTAAAGTCGACCATATGGCTACGGATCGCCCATAAGCATAAACAAATATTTATTTCTCTATCTTCCTCCTTCGCCTTCAGCGCTTCTGTTGCTTCCGGCGAGATAGACGAGCAGCTGATCCACAAACACAAAATTGACACGCAAGCCCTCAATCCAGCCCGGATCTTACCTCCATGAGCTCAGGGAAATTCATTTGCGCAGAGAAGGAAAGAGGAGGGCGTGGAGTCTCTCATCGTTTCCCCTTGCGACGGCGACCATCCACTCGTGAAAGGGAGGCCACCGCCCTTGAAGTTTGTGCGGGTAGGGAGGCCACCGTCGGGTAGGGAGGCCACTGTGTGGTAGCGAGGTCGCCACCCCGTCCATCCGTGCGTAGGGTGATTCGAGATGGCGCAGATGCTGATTCGAGATGAAAAATATCGATTTTGGGTGGAGGCAGGTCGCTATGGCGCGGAGGAGACAGGCGGAGGCGGCGGCGGCGTGGAAAAAAGGATGGCGGAGACAGAAGACCGAACATGTGCTCGAGATAGGAGCATTTCTCAAGATGCGTGACAGTTGGTGTTGACGATTTTTTTTATTTGCTGTTGGGTCCTTTATATCTATATAATCCCACGTTGTGTATCTAAAAATTAACTATAGACTACTGACATATTGTCCACTGCCCCTTTATCCATGTACATTGCTCTTGGTGGAACGGTGGGGCCTGAATCATGTGTTTTACCACACTCACACCATGGCACACACCGCGCAGCTGGCGCTCGCTCCCGTCCCCACCCCCACCACGGGGACCACCCACTCCCCCGTCTCACGTGTCACGGGTACCAAACCATCGACCACGCGAAAAGGGGGAAGCCCAACCAACGAGGAGAGGGGGAAAAACAAGAAGCCTTCGCAAGCTGGCCAGCTAGCTCCCTATCGACTATCAAGATAGAAAGTCACCACGCTCAGTGAGCGAATAAGCGAGAGAGATACCGAGGAGGGACGGATCGGGATGGGAGGGGTGACCTCGAGTGTGGCGGCGAAGATGGCCTTCTTCCCGCCGACACCGCCGTCGTACGCGCTGGTGGAGGACGCCGGTGCGGGGGTCACCACGCTCAGCGGCCAGCCGCACCGGGAGAACGTCGAGTTGCTGCGCCTCCGCACCCGCAAGGGGAACACGCTGGCGGCGATGTACGTACGCCACCCGGACGCCGCGTCCACGGTGCTCTATTCCCACGGCAACGCCGCTGACCTGGGCCACCTCTACCAGCTCTTCCTGCACCTGTCCTTCAACCTCCGCGTTAACATCCTCGGGTGAGGATTGGCCCGCCTATCGCCTGATTGCTTTCCCTCCAAGTGTAATAGCTTCACGTAGCTTGCTTCTCCTTTTCTGTTTGGCGTGATCCCGTGGTCCATGGATGCTCTTGGGCATGCGTGTCTTGGCGGCTAGTCCTGGGCTCAGGCGTTCCTCGATTTGTCACCGTCGATGTGTGAAATCTTGTGTTCTGACGCCAAATTCTTTCCTCTTTCTCCCTAGTGTGTTCAGATTTTACTAAGTTTGGGCGGAATTCCATGTTTTTGGTATGCTTGCCTAACTTTCCTTTGCTTTGTCCCCGTTTGTTTCCCGTGATCTTCTTTGAGTGTGGGAATATCCATTTCCTTGTTCTTTTTTTTTTCTTGCGAAGATTTCCTTGTTCATAATAGGATTGGGTCTTGCTTTCGCGTAACTGGGGATATACATATACATGGCGTGATATCTGGTTCGATGCCTCGATTTTTGTGTTATTTGTGAGTGAAGTTGCTGAAATTCTTTTATATTTCGGAATCTGTATTTGGGATTTCTTATATTTGGGATGGAAACGAATTTTTTAAGGAGTTCGTCTTCTTTCTATTTCTTTTTCTAGAATTACAGCATGGGATGTTGAGCTACTGGGCTGAAACTTCTGCACAGCGAAGATCCTGCCTGGCTGTCTTGGGGTTTGGTATTGCAGCTTTTCTTGAAGAAGAAGATGAAGAAAAAAAAAATCTTGCGCAGGGCAGTCGGACTGATATGATGATACTAGTTTCTGCTTTGTTAGCTTTTCTCAAATGTGTGCTATACTGCGATGTACTACTACCTCCGTCCTGAAAAGACGTCCTGAAAAGACGTAAGATCTAGTTCTAATTCTGTCTATACTCAACTTTTGAAAGTTTGACCAAATTTATAGAAAATAGTACCACTATTTAAGACATCAAACAGTATTCTATGAAAATATATTCCATGATGAATACAATGACACTTATTTGGTATAAAATATTGATGCTTTCTTTTTTCTAAACTCGATCAAATTCGAAATAGTTTCACTTGTTACTATGCTAGATAGAATTGCACTCTTTTCAGGATCGAGGGAGTGGTTTTTTCTTAGGATTTTTTTTTGGTCAGTGGTGTAGGATGCCTGCAATCTGATACTTCTCTTCCATTCCACAATTCTTGTTGTGGTTGACCAGTTGATCCTGTGCATTTATGAGGAAGTTTACTTATCCTATCCAAGGGAAATCACTGATGGTTTGTTTGATATGAAATAGATGTAGTTTCTCGTGGTCAATGAAAAGGAACTCATTCTTGTAGACTTGGCTCATCGGTTACTGTGTGGTGCATTACTGGTGTATATTCAGGGTTCTCTTTGCACATGATCGAGATTCTAGATGTGCTAGGCTGTGTTTCTGTAAGGATAAAATTTGGGCAGTGATTCAGTCATAGGGCAAAAGGGCCAAAGTTGATTTATAGTGTATTCTTTTGAGTGGTTGGGCCTTCACTTTTTGGTAGGACAGAAAGAAGCTATCAGCTGTGTCCTTGTTACCCTGCACTTACAGATTCAATGGCGCTCTAGAGAGGTTTTTGTCATTGCTAAATTGATCCCTTTTATATTAATTAAACATTTCAAATGCTTTATCTCAGACTGCATTTCTTGTCCAGACGATTTCTTGCCAAAACATAACCACAATATGGATGATGGAGACCCATATACTAATTTCATGGCAAATCATTGTCTGGATATGTCTCCATTATTGAATCATCTTCATGGGGCTCAAAATAGATTTCATTTATGCTGTGTCTAAAACTACATTCTTTTACATTATGGGTGGGACTGTTTGATAGAGTTTTGTTTTGGCATCTTATGCCTTGGTAGTGCTTGCTTGCTCATTGAGATAGTTCTGTGGTGCGTCATTATTTCCTTTCTGGGAAGTTCATTGATGAATGATTATTGATCTGTAAAGTCCTTCATGTTTAGGAAAGTTTGGTGCCTCTGTTTATCTCATTTATCTCTAGATACTAAAGGAACTTGAACACAGTCATATTGTCTTATAATGACTTCCTAAAATTGAAAGGTTGTTGACGGACAAACTTGTATGTGTGTTTCTTTTGCATGCATAAAATAAAGTTAGGAAAATAAAGTATTTACGCATAGCTGGAGCTCAAGCTATGACTTCATTTGCATGATGATCGTATGTGATAGAGAGCACATGCTGGCTGTGCTTAATCGATGTTGGACCATGGATAGATTTTCAAGCATGGCTTGCCTTGCCTCACCTAGCATCCTGTCCCCGCTGTGGTCAAGCCAATGAAATGAATTCAGCGTTTGCTTGTCTCTTGTGTGGTGGCTCGACAAGTGTGGTTAGTCATCTTCAAGAAAATTGGGTTGCAGGGAATGTGGCTGCAGTTGGACATGGGACTCCAGATTGTGGTGTTGCATGACCAATCTTATAGGAAAGGTTTACAGGAAAAGGCTCAACAGTTTGATCATGGTAGCTTGGTAAATTGGAAACATCTTAAATGACTTAGCGTTCCACAGTGCCACTCTAAGCGTGAGCATGATTGTGAGGAGGCGGTTTTGCGGTGTGCTGCCATGGCTTGCCAGTTTGGCATCCTCTGGATGCCATTTTAGGAATCCCACTGCACAGATTTTGGTGATCGTTTCTTTTCTTTTGTGATGTGTGTTGCTGTTAGCACAGTGTGGTGTGTGTTAGGTGTATGTGTGTGGGTTTGTAATCTTCATTCTTCTCTAATGGAATGACATGCAGCTCTCCTGTGCATTTGAGGGGAAAAAGTTTTACTTTGTAAACAATGCAGCATGCGTTTGAGGAAAAAATGTTACTTTGTAAACAATACAGCATATGCAACTTGTTACTTGATTTTCCTGTAATCAGTGGCTAATAGTAACTTTGAAACTACGCAGGTATGACTATTCAGGATATGGGCAATCGTCAGGAAAGGTATGTTGAAGTCTTGAAGATGAGCAATGTTATTTTTCATAACGAAACTAAGTGTCTGCTTTGCTAAGTGTTTGCGCTGTCCCATTTTAGCCGAGTGAACACAATACTTATGCTGACATAGAGGCAGCTTACAAGTGCCTCATAGAGAACTTTGGTGCCAAGGAAGAAGAAATAATTCTTTATGGACAATCTGTTGGAAGTGGGCCTACTGTAGATTTGGCCAGTCGTTTGCCTCAGCTGCGAGCTGTTGTCCTGCATAGTCCTATATTGTCAGGGCTGAGAGTTATGTATCCTGTGAAGCGCACATATTGGTTTGACATCTACAAGGTTTGTTGTCATCTGTTAATTGCGTCATTCAACATTGAGTTATCTTATCCGCTTCTATATCTTAGGTGCCTGATTTTTTGTTGTTGTTCAGGTAACATGCAATTTTGTCATTGTTTGGCTATAGAAAAAAAGTAAATTGTCTCTTGTGAGCTGTTATTCACGTGCCTGAACCTTGATTGCTTCTGTTGGGTTTCAACTCTAGCCTACCCCAACTTGTTTGGGACTTAAAGGATTTGTTGTTGTTGTTGTTGTTGTTGTTGTCTCTTGTGAGTTGTCCTTTTAGTTGTACTAGTTGTTTGTGTAAGATTGTTACCTGAAAATTTCTAAAAATTCAGGAACTTGAATTATAACTACTCCTGTCCTGCTATATCTCTATTTTATACTGACAGTTCTCTGTTGTTCATTTGCTTCCAGAATATTGATAAAATCCCTCAAGTTACATGTCCTGTGCTCATTATACATGTAAGTGTATCTTCATCTTACATTTTTCTCTCTTTCTGAAATTTTATTTGACAATTCATAGCTAGGTGTGGTGTTGTGTTCCATATGTATGTGTGCTTCTCAATTGTTTCTTTTTGCTATATGAGAATTATTTCAATTATGTTTTATAAAAGCAGACATAAAACCTTAAAGTCGGATTACATGAATAAAGTTGTTAGCTTGTGCATCAGCTTGCATTCCCACCTGATATTTGGATTACTCACAAGTGCTGAAGTATCTAAGTTTATTGTATACCATTCCTAAATAGTTTTAAGCTTTGGTGAATATGATTTCTGAATTTTGCTTATAAAAAAACATGTTTGAGAATTTTTATATTATTTGATTGTAGTTTATGAGCCCCTGTTCGTTTGAACTTATCAGCCATGGTACAATGTTTTTCTCTCACAACAAATCAGCGAACCAATAAATCAGCGAACAGTACTTTTCAGCCTGGCTTTTCAGCGAAACGAATAGGGCTGCAATGATTACATCCCTATTTGTTGCTCTGTTTTGTGTGATTCAACTAAATGCTACATACTACATAGTATCATGCAACACACTACTTGTTACTTTGGTCTATCATGTACTTTTAATTTGTCAGACTGAAAGCACTATTTTCAGGTTTGGTATATCGTCATCCATGTAGTTCTTACTTTCAACATCTAGGTGTCTTCTTGATAACTGGATAAGTTGTGGATAATAGCTATATGTGCATCATTATATTAAGAAGTAAAAATGGGAAATAACCCATACAACACACCCAGACCAGCCAAAAAGGCAAGCCCTCACACTCACACCAACTCACACAAAAACTCCCCCAAACTCTCTGATCCTTAGGATACAAGCGTGCCCGTGTCTGTTTCAAAGGGCGACCAACAGCAGCATTAGGATCCTAACTTTCTGAATGGGGGGCAGTCAGGAGGGAAATTCCTCGAGCCCCAGCCAACGACCATAGTTTTCGCTCTTCTCCAGCATTGGTCAGAGCTCTTGCAATATCAGGGGCTGCTCCATCAAAAACACAGCTGTTGCGATGAGTCCATACAGCCCATGCTCCAAGAATTATGAGAGAATTGATTCCTTGCAATATTATGTCACTAGTAGCACTACTCACTCTATCCCACCAATCTAAAAAAGATAGTTCAGTGTGCTGAGGGGATGTAATTCTTATCTATTGAAAGCCTCATTATATATGAAGGCCATGAATTTGTTAAATTTGCTGTTCTCTTGAATTTTTTTATTGTTAAATAAGCCTCATCTGTCTCCTATCTTAATGAAATGACACGCAGCTCTCCTGCGTCACACGAAAAAAAGCCTCATCTGGATATTAGGACAAGTGCAAATGATTTGTTAAATTTGATGTTTTCTTGAATATCTAGATTGTTATGCTAGACACAAGATATTATTTGATATAAGTAGATAGCAATAACTGCACACTAAAATATTGGAAGTTTATTATCTCAGTGCTCTCACTTTCAATTTGTGGCCTTGCCATTTCTTTTTTCTGAAACCCTTTTGCTTCACCTGTATACCCTTGAGATGCTTTGGTCCCGTGTTGCATTGAATGTATCAACTAGTGGTCTTCTGGTGTTAACAGTGCAAGTAAATGCCCTAGCTATCGTCATTGACTCATGCAAAACAACAACATGCACTCATTGAGTTGTTTTGTAGTGTCTCTACTAGTCTGTAGATTGAGTTTAAGAGTGTGTTTATGTGAGCGTGGTTGGTTTGTTGTGATTTATTTGCTATCTCCTTAATGCAATGATACGCAGCTCTCTTGCGTATTCTACAAAAAAGTTATGATTATGTTGCATTCTAGCAGTGCAGTTTGTGGAGTTGAAGTAGCGCGATATCAAACTTAGTATCTGAATCTTGGATCAAGCCAAACAAGACATTTAATAGAATGTTGAATAAAATTTTGGTCCTAAATCAGTACTTACATTGATTGTCCCCTAGCATTAACTTCACAGAAATGAGAATCATTTAAGAAAACGTTGTAATTTTCTTCAATCTGGAATCTGTGGCTTGAATATATTTTTCCTTCAAAATTTGTTAGAACATAAACCACTGGACCAACCATGACCTATAACATGTGAACTATCTGAACACATATAGGCAATGTGATACACGATGCATAACCCTTTTGGGTTCACATGTCCTCTGCATGCTTCTAGGCACTGGAGGTCACCTTTGTTGGGCAAGTGATGAAAGTATCTGTTGTCGTCACAAATAGTTTGATGCTATACCCCCTCCATCCCAGAATGATAGGTGTATTTTGTCTAGGGAAATGTCAAATTTTACAAACTTTGACCAACAAGTAATCAAATTATATACAAGTTTAGGACATTAAAACTTGCATCAATAGATTTGTATCCAAAGTGCCTTTGAGATAAAATTGATTCTTTTGCAAATGACAACACATTGTAAGAGATTAAGGGCCCAAATCTACTTTGTATGACTTTTCTTTGTTGTCAAAATACACTTATCTTTCCGAGACGGAGGGAGCAATCCACAGATTTTCTGATATTAAAGTTTGACATACTTTTGTGTGCATTCTGTTTGGGAGTGGGTACTCCCTCTTGTTCCACTATATTTGTGCATCGCATGCCATGTGCACTAACCAATGAAAAACTAGTTCCAAGTAAAAGTCCTTGTGAAATAACGATCCATACCATATTAAATAATATGATACAAGTACTACTCTTCTTTTGAAACATTTAATTAGGGATCATGATCGAAATGTCATGATAACTACACTTTTGATATCTTCATGGACATTGTGAAATGTCTTCTCCTGAGGCTATAGACAAACATACTGGTATGGAGGGAGTAATGGCTGAATAGATGTGTATGTAATCTGTGTGAAGTTCTGTGGGTTAGGAACCCATATCCACATAGTCTTTATTTGTGTTATGGAGTGTGTTTTCTCAATCACATAATCTGTACTCTTGAAACCAGGTGGGTGTTGCTTGGAGCATAATAATTGGTTACACAAATCATAATGCCTAATATACATAGCCACACAGCCTTTTTTTTTCATTTGCAATCAACTGCATCAGACCCTTGCAAGTCATGCCATTTGAATGGCACATTCAATAATATATGTAATGACCTTTATGTGGTCTGAGCTTGTGTGCTGGAGCACACAACTAATTGCAGGTACTGCTGTGCATGTGGAATATATGGGAACTTTACAGGGAATCGAATTGTAATTTACCCCTGATGGAGCGGTGCAATTTAATTGTGGGCGAATTTAGTGCAACATTTTTTTCACATTAACTTGAACATTTCTTGGTTTAATTTGTTCAAACTATGCATGTTATTTGATTTAATACTGGTGTTGATAGCTCTTGCTGAATTGTAGGGAACTGCTGATGAAGTGGTGGATTGGTCTCATGGTAAACAACTTTGGGAACTTTGCAAAGAGAAATATGAGCCCTTATGGCTCAGGGGAGGGAAGCACTGTGATTTGGAGCTCTTCCCGGAATACATCCAGCACCTCAAGAAATTTTTCCACACGGTAGAGAAATCGCCATCCCATAGGCAAGCCTGGAGGGAAAGTGGGGACCGGATTGAACCCTCGCAGAAGAACACCGATTTCTTTGAACCCTCGCGAAAGAGCACAGACCAAAGGGAAAAATCAAGGTCAACTCGAGATAGGACGAGAAACACTGAACATAGATATAGCAATGTCGAGAAGGTAGACAAGCTAAAGATATCATTTGATCAGTTTGAGAAATCCAGGAGAAGTGTTGACATCTTCGAGAGGCCAAAGAGGAACATTGAGCAGTTGGACTGTGGTCGGAAGAGTGTTGACAGATTGGACAGGATTTGGGCTAGTTAAATTTCTTTTTTTACATGATATACAGGTTATACATGGGGTTCGGTTGTTTTGGGGGATTTTACAGGTGTGGCATAAGAGTTGATTCACCAACACAAAAGGAGCGAAGCATCGTTGACGAGGTTTCGTGTAGAGATGTAATGGCTTATGTGGTGGGAGAAGTGTATGTTGGTCTTCAAAGAAATTGTTGCTCTCTTCTGTTAGGGGTGTTCAACTAAATGACATTTGGGAGTAGTCTATGACAGCATTGTGTATAATCTGATGCTTTGTATCAACAATGCTTTTCTTCTATTTCATTGAATTGAACTTTTCCTTTGATGGGTCTTGGCTGTGTATGGGTATGGCTGATAGGGACTGTGAGTTAGCATGGTTGAGCATTTGCATATTTAAAACAAGATGTGAGTTGCATCTTCTTGATTTTATGTGATGTAATAAAATCAACTAAACCTTTTCATCAAACTTGTGTGTGTGTGTTGCTGACCCTTGGCTTTGACCCTAATAACCTAGTTGACCCCTAGTGGACCCCATAAGGATGTGTACATTCTTGGCAACACATGTATACATGTATAGAAGTCCAAGGTATAGCATAGAAATAGAAATGGAAATAGAAAAGGAATTAGAAAAGGGGAAATAAATAGAAAGGCCAAAGCAGCCTAGCCAACGCCGCGGCCCAGCCCTGCTCCTGAGTGCGCATCGCCACCAGCCTAGCAACGCGGCCTAGCTCCCTCCCGCGCACGCCTGCGCCCGCGTGTGGCTGAGTCGGCTCAGCAGCAGCCCACGTTGCGCCCGCCCGCGTCGCGACGCGCCGTTGTTGTCTTCTCCCCTACCGCTGATAGCCAGGCCCCGCTTGTCATCCCCAACCCCCGCCCTTCCTCTGCTTTTCCAAAAGCAGAGCACCGGCAACCGGGGGAATCTCGTGGTCTCCAGTACGCCCTGGCCGTCTGCGCCCCTGGCTGTTGCGCTCCAACGCGAGGATGCGCGCCACGTCCACAGCCCCAGCGCGCCTCGCCTCCACAGCCGGCGTCACGATGTGCATGACGTCGTGCGTGGACCCGCGCCCTTGACACTGCCCGTCCTCGCCTTGACCACCTGGGATTCAAAATTGGAGGCGCCTGTGCCCGTGCCACCACCCCGCGCTCCCAAAAACCTAAGTCGAAGCCCTTGATCACCCTCCACGTACCCCCATCCCCTCCATCCGCCGTTCACTGGCCGCCATGGCCGAGCTCGGACTATAAACGCCTCGAGCCGGTGCCCTAGCCCTTCCCTATCCACCCCGCGGCCACTGGTGGCTTCACCAACCACACGCCAAGCCAGAGAAGAGAAGGGAGAAGGAAGGAGAAGGAGGGAGGGAGGAGCCCGAGCCACCGGAACGGAGGACACCGCTCCGATCGGCTACACCGATGTTGTGGTTCTCCCTGCACTGCCCCGACTTGCCACTACCTCGACTCGCGACCGCACCCCCAGCCTATCTACCCCACCACCGCCGGTGAGCACCCGAAGCCCCCATGCTCGCCGCCATGGACACGCCATGCCGCACCGCCGTGTTCTGCCCCTTGGGAGGGCTAAATGTTGGCCTTTTTCACCGTTGTGTTGCTCTACACACACATGCGCGCATGCACACGAGCTGAGGCCTGGCCTTGCCGAGCCACTGGTGCTCGGGAACGCCGACGCCAACACAGCGCATCTGCCGTGGTCACCATGGCCAGTGTTCGCCGCGTCGCTGCCTTGTTCCGGCCACCTCTCACCGGTAGAGTCAAGAGGGATACCTCGGCAAGCTTCACCTCGCCAAGGGACACATCGTGCACTAGATGGAAGAAGAGAAGCCCTGAGGGCCGCTGGTCGTGTCCGCCTCGCAGGACCACCGCGCGCCCATGTTACTGCCGTGCCGGGGACGATCCGGCCAACTCTGGCCGCCTCGCGTGATGAGATTTGGCTATTGATGTTCATCGTGACCCGGTGCACCTCGTCGTGTAGCTAGTTGAACGGAAAGCCTCGCCTTGCCTTGTTTGGCCATAGCCACAAGCTCGTCGGAGCTCCACCGTGCACCTCGCCGTGGTGTGGACTCTGCCGCGCTTTTTGGTCACCGACGGTAGGCTGATTAGCCTCCCCACGACCCAATTGAAGGAAAAGAGCCACTTTTGGCTCCGATTGTGGCCGCAGCCACCTCACCATAGCCCGCCGTCGCTGCCGAGCCGCAGCCACCATGGCCAACCTCACTGGAGCCCCTAGAGCTTCATCTAGTGCCCTTGTCATGCTCACTAGAGCACCAGGAAGCTGAAGGACCCCCCACCGGAGCCTTACGAAGCCCTGGACACCGTCACCTCCGTTCCCGCGTCGTCGTTCGCCGCCATGGCATCCTTGTCGACCACCTAGGACCCCAAGCCGCTGCCTTTAGCCCCTTAGTGAGTTCGTCGTGAGCTCGCGTTGCCATAGAACCTTCTAGTAGCCTCGCCGAGTCACCCTAGCACGAGAACGCGTGAGCTCGCCGCCAGCGAGGAGCGCCACCATGAGACAAAGAGAGAGGGAGCCGCTACGCCGCTACCACCCCGTGCACTCGGCGCACTATGAGCTAGAGAGAGGAGAGGGAGGAGTGGACGCAGTCCACCGCGCGACCTTGCCTGCGGTCCATGGACCCGCACCGTGTTGCCCACCATGGACCAGCCCCGTGGACCCGAGCCTAGCAGCAGCCCACTTGCGCCATGTGGCCGCCTAGCCTCCGCGACATGTGTTTGGGCCAGACCGACCCAACCCCGCCCAACTCTGCCTGTTATCCGGCCCGCTAAACCCAGTCCGAGCCTGGTCAACATTGATCGTTGACCAGTCAATGCTGACCGTTGACCCGGTCCCACCTGTTAGTGCCCCACGCCACTTCAACCAATCCTGTGCTGCCACGTGTCAAGCCCTGGATTTTCCATTTCTTTTTCTTTTTAAAAATATGATTTAAACTTGGAAAATTTATAGAAAATTCATACAACTTCAGAAAAATACGAAACCAAAGTCCAATTTTTTTTTCTAAAAATGAGCTCTACATCATAGGCTTATGTTTGAGTGCATTTGGATATTTTGAATTTCTATTGCTTCTTTGTGATCATCTATAGGAGTCGCTTATTGTGGCTATATGTCTCGTTTGACAGACCCGGAGGAGCCGTAGACTGAGGAGCACGACCCCGACTACACTGAGGAGCTTGGAGATGACCTGCCAGGTGCCACGTCCCACCCAACATCGTAGAATCCTATTAGACATGCTATAATGTAGATGCTAGTGCTTTATTTTATGTAAATGATCTGTGATAGGTTGCATGGTAGAATTGCTTGTGAGCCATTACCTTGTCACAACCTATACCCCTGCACACCCGTTGTTAGGCTAGATGCTCACTTACTTACTTGCTACTGCTTCTACTACGCATTATATCTGTGATGTGATGTTTGGTGGAGGGTTGTTTGTGAGTGGTTAAGGCACTTGGTGCCGATAATGTGGTAACAACCGAGTAGATCTTGGCGTACGTCTTGGGTGTGTGGTGAGGGTTGAGTCGATCGGGCAGGATCTTACGACGAGTCTTGCCAGGGGGTGCGACTTGGGCATCCCCTATGAGAGGTACCTGTGGCGGGTGCATGTGAGATGAGATCTTAGGGTGGAGTGTCTTTGTGGGATGAAGCCCCAGGATGGAGGTGCCGTCGAGGCATGGGGCATTGGTTTTCCCCTTGTGAAGATATCCTATCCGGTCCCCCTAAGGACTAGTATGTCAAGAGAACCGGATCATAGAACCCTACATGCACGCCAGTTGTTCCTGAATAGGCGGGGGACGGATGCTGACCAGCTAGGACGGTGCCACTACTACTAGGTTGGAAGTGGATAGTGTAGGGAGGTACAGGCGTGAGACCCACACCCTCCTAAGATAGCGTAGTGACCTCTGGGGCCCGACACTATGTCTCACAGTCTCAACATTTTGGTGGACTCCGGGGTGGCCCAGGGCTGAGTGGTGCGGTGGCATCGCACCGGTTGGAAGGTAGCCCGGTATTAGCCTAGGTGGGGCACCACCAATGATGATGATCTTGTGGTTCCAGGTGTACACGCTCTGCAGAGTTGATCGATCTATACGTATAGCCGCGTCCTCAGATATGGACATTCCTATGACCTACGCTTCCCTTGATTAGTGAGTGGAGTCCTTTCTTCTCTCCCCCTGGGTTCTTGTGTTGGATTTTGGCTTTGGCCTATGAGGCAAGGCACGAGAGGGAGTCGTCCTTATCGCCTAGAGAGTGTGAGAGTGGTGAGATGTGTGATGGGGATGGGAGAACGTGTGGATGAGATGGGTAAAAACTTGATGTATTATTATTAAAAACTTGACATACTCGCTGAGGAAACTACAACCACAAAATAGGTCTTTTGCTCTACCCTTGCATTCCACTACCACAAAGCAAATGCAAAGCATAGGGTGGGAACCAGTGGCCGGTACAAATCGTACTAATAATTGTTTGGCAGGTTCTGAGTCTGAGTACGACTACCAGGGAGACAGTTGGGAGGATTAGAGATCTTTTTCTGCGCTCAAGTTTGGTTCGTGCAGTTGGAGTTGACGCCTGCTGCCGTTGTACTTGATGTTATTCTAGTTGCTGCATGCTCTGAGTGATTCCGCCAAGTGGTAATGTAATAATGAGTAAACCTTGCTATTTGTACTCTCTTTAAGACATGTATTCGATGTATGACTATGGTATCGACTGTTATTGGATAATGTGATGGAATGATCACCTGAGACTATCACATTATACTTCGAATCCGTGGATTTCCCTTCGAGGAAATCGGGATCGTTTCAGTTGGTATCAGAACCATACTTGACCCTAGGATGAGACCCATAGGTTTGGACGATAGAATTAGGAGTGGAACTTGTCTTTTTCAGTTATATGTACCGACCTTGCATTTTTTATGCATGGCTTACCTCTTTTTCTAATCTGCTGATCCCCTTTTTGGACCGATTTGCAGATGGCACCCGCAGTTGAGCTTCCTGTCG